ACATTCATTTCAAGTGCACACTGAACATTTGCCAGAATAGATCACATGTTAGGCCACAAAACAAGTCTCAACAAATTCAAAAAAAGATCGAAGTCATACCATGCATCTTTTCTGACTACAATGCTATGAAACTAGAAGTCAACAAGAAAAAGTATGAAAAGAGCACAAATAGATGGAGATTAAATAACATGCTACTAAACAATGAATGGGTTAACCAAGAAATCAAAGAAGAAATGAAAAATTACATGGAAGAAATGAAAAGGAAAACACAACGGTCCAAAACCTTTGGGATGCAACAAAAATAGTTCTAGGAGGGAAGTTTATAGCAATCCAGGCCTACTTCAAGCAAGAAAAATCTCAAATAAACAACCTAACCTTCCACCTAAAGAAGCTAGAAAGAACAACAAACAAATCCCAGGGGTGCCTGGGTAGCTCAGTTGGTGGGGTGTCCAACTATGGCTCAGATCATGATCTCAAGGTTTGTAAGTTCAAGCCCCATGTTGGACTCTGTGCTGAAAGGTCAGAACCTGGAACCTGCTTCAGATTCTGTGTCTCCCTCTCTCTCTGCCCCTCTCCTGCTAATGCTCTGTCTCTCAAATATGAATAAACATTTAAAAAAAATAAAATAAAAAATATACAAATCCCAAAAACAGCAGAAAGAAGGAAATAATAAAGAATGGAGCCGAAATAAATGATATGGGAGCAAACAAACAAAAAACAATAGAAGAGATCAATGAAACCAGGAGCTAATTCTTTGAAAAGATCAACAGAGCTGATAAACCTCTAGCCAGACTCATAAAAAGAAGGAGGGAGGGAGAAAGAGAGAGAGAGGACTCGAGTAAACAAAATCATAAATGAAAGAGAAATAACAACACCACAGAAATACAAACAATTGTAAGAGAATTTTGTGAAAAACTATATTTCAGCAAATTAGACAATCTAGAAGAAATGGATAAATTCCTAGAAACATAACCTATCAAAAGTGAAGCAGAAAGAAATAGAAAATTTCAACAAAGCAATTATCAGCCAGAAGACTGAATCAATAATCAAAAAATTTCCAATAGGGTACGAGGAGCCAAGATGGGGGAACATCATGGAAGCTTTTTGTGTGGCTCACTTCCATGAAATACAGCCAGACCAACACTAAACCATCCTACACACCTAGAAAACTGATTGGAGGATTAATACAACAATCTGCACTACCTGAACCACAGAATTCAGCAGATATGCGGCAGGAGAGCTGAACTTGGGGAGGGAGAAGCCAGGGGCGGGCAGGGAGCCGCTTTTGCAGGCGGAGAGAGGACGGAGACTGGGAGGGGGGAGGGTGGGGAGAATATGGGAAAAGCACCCCTTCCCAAAAGCAGCTGGAGAGAAAGTGGAAAATTGAAAACAGCCACAGGGACTAAACTAAAAAGGGAGAAAGGAGAGGGTTTAAATTCCATTAAGACTGTAAACAAGAGGAGTGCAAAGTCTACAACTCCGCAGCTCCATACCCGGAGGTGCTCTGGTGGGAAGGGCAAATCCCCAGTAATAGAGTGGGGCCTGGGAAGTTCTCGGGCCACACGGGGAAAAGCGGTTTCACTGCTGGAAGGACATTTGGTAGAGACGGTTGAAGCCACCTGGTACCAGCAGACCCCAGAAAACGGCCACATTTGGTGGTGCTGGAACAAGGTCATTAAGGGTGAAGCCTGGTGCCAGATGTGTGTTGTGATTTTCCATAATCTCTGAAAAGCTGCTGCTACACTATCTCGTGAACTTTTTCTGGAGCGGGCTGGCACCTGGCCGCAATCTTGGGGCACCGGCAGCAGCAGAGTTTGGCAAGCGTTCCTGGATGCAGCTGACATTCGGCCATTACTCATTCGGCCATTGCTCAGTGAGACTCTCCCACAGAAGGGCGGAATGGATCAAAGCCACAGTCCTTCAGAAGTAAGGGGCCAGGGAAAACAGCCACATCTGAAACAAAACTTGGGAGAGAGGTACTGCCTAGGGCCTGGTCATGGACAGTGAACAAGCAGGGAGCAGACGAGAGCTGAAGACAGAGGACGGTGCTCGACTGCTGATCTGGGAGAACAGAATTCCAATACTAGCGCCAGGGTAGCTGGGTGATGCCATTTTCACCGCTCCTGCGCATGGGTATACACAACTATGAGCCCTGTAACAATCCACCCTAGTAGGCTAGCAGCGCCATCTAGTGGAGAACGGAGTCATTACACTGAGCCCTGCCCAACTGGGCCAACCTCGCTCTTGAGGAACACAAGTCTCACCACCTACTTAGTTTATGGACTACAAAGCGCTACATAGTCTGACTTCTAGGGGAAAACAAAGTAATTTCAGTCCTATTTCAGTCTGTTAGCAGGTCCATCTATTCAATATTCTTTTTTTTTCTCTTTTACACTTTTCTTGAATACAGAAAGAAAAAATTCATTTTTATTTTCAATTTTTATTAAAAACATTTTTAATTTTTTACTATATTTTTTGTTTTTGTGTAAATTTTTTCTAATTATTACTTCCATCATTTTATTTTAGCCTATTCAGTGTATTCACCTTTTCAAACGATTTCCTTTTTTTCTTTTTTTTTCGTTTCTTTTCTTTTTCTTGGATGCAGAAAAACTTCATTTTTACTTTCAATTTCTATTAAAAATATTTTTCTTTACTTTCTTACTATATTTTTTCCTTTTATGTAAATTTTTTCGAATTCTATTTTACTTCCATCCTTTTGTTTTAGTCTACTACAGTGTATTCACTTTTTCAAATTTTCAAATGATTTTTTTTCTTTTTCATTTCTTTTCTTTCTCTTGAATACAGAAAGAGAAAAAAATCATTTTTATTATCTTATATTAAAAATATTTTTCCTTTTTTCTACTATATTCTTTATTTTTGTATAATATTTTTCAAATTCCATTTTACTCCCATCATCTCATTTTAGTCTCCTTCAGTGTATTCATTTTTTTCAAATTCCCAAAAGATTTCCTTTTTTTCCCCTTTTTTTCTCTTCTGCCAAACCACTTTCAACACCCAGACCAAAACACACCTAGGATCTAGCATCATTTATCTGATTTTTTTTGTTTGTGTGTTTAATTTTTTAATTTTAATATTTTAAATTTTTAAGTGTTTTTTATTTTAATTTTTCTATCTCATTAATTCCTTTTCTCCCTTCAAAATGACAAAACAAAGGAATTCACCCCAAAAGAAAGAGCACGAAGAAACGACAGCCAGGGATTTAACCAACACAGATACTAGCAAGATGTCTGAACCAGAATTTAGAATCACAATAATAAGAATACTAGTTGGAGTCGAAAATAGATTAGAATCCCTTCCTGCAGAGATAAAAGAAGTAAAAAAATAGAATGAAATTAAAAATGCTATAACTAAGCTTCAATTATGGATGGATGCCACGGCAGCAAGGATGGATGAGGCAGAACAGAGAATCAGCTATATACAGGACAAATCTATAGAGAAAAATGAAGCAGAAAAAAAGAGGGAGATTAAGGCAAAAGAGCACAATTTAAGAATCAGAGAAATCAGTGACTCATTAAAAAGGAACACCATCACAATCACAGGGGTCCCAGAAGAGGAAGAGAAAAAGGGGTAGAAGGGTTATGTGAGCAAATCATAGCAGAAAACTTTCCTAACCTGGGGAAAGACACAGACATCAAAACCCAGGAAGCACAGAGGACCCCATTAGATTCAACAAAAACTGACCATCAACAAGGCATATCATAGTCAAATTCACAAAATACTCAGGAAAGGAGAGAATCATGAAAGCAGCAAGGGAAAAAAGTCCCTAACCTACAAGGGAAGACAGATCAGGCTTGCAGCAGACCTATCCACAGAAACTTGGCAGGCCAGACAGGAGTGGCAGGATATATTCACTGTGCTGAATCAGAAAAATATGCAGCCAAGAATTCCTTTTTTTTTT